TGAGAGCTTCAAAGCTTTGTGGGAGAACAGACGTCCCTTAAACGGGATTGCAAACCGGAATCTTCATTTTCAGCCGGAAATTTTCTGACGGCCCTTAAATTTGCCCCCATATGGCGGTTTAAGGTCCTGCATTTAGATAACCTTGCAAGCCAGAGTGATTGCTCTTTTTAAAGAAAGCAATATATAATATAAAAATATAATGGATGGATTTCACCTGATATGTTAGGCCAGTTAATATCCACCGCGGGGTTATAAGCCAGCACAGACAAGAGAGTCGGCCGCGGCATTGTTGATGTAGTCTGGACTGCAGGGGCGGTGGTTTGTGTTCCGGTTCATCAGTGTGATGCACAGATGCCAGTGTAAAATAGCTAGCACGCGCCGTCCGCAGTAGGGCATCACTTTTATAGTGAGCACTTGTCCTGTATAAAAAGATATAGGCCAAAGTAATTGTTCTTAAACAAAGTACATGCGGATAAGAGGGATAGCACCTGATTTGCCCGGACAACCGATAAATCGACCGTGGCATTGTAAGCCGGTGCGGACGGGCGAATCAATCGCAGGCGCACGACACCGCACGGACGGACGAGTCAGCCTTGTCGTGTTGGTGTAGAGTGGCCCGCGGGAGCGGCGGCTTCCGCATGCCCGTTCAACAGTAAGCGGGCGCAGACGCCGGTGCGTGATGACGCTAATGCACATTCCATGGGCACGGCATGACTCCACCTTTATAATAAATCATTATCCTGATGTCTTTGAATGACTAATGATCTGTACATAGAATTCTTTCACAGAGTACTGGTAGTGCTCCACAATGCTTTTTGCATCATCTTATGACAGCCAACACAGATTGCTGGGACTCGTGCTCTGGTTGAATTGGCAGAGTGGCCTTCATGCATGCACTTCCTTTCCACGGGAATGCTCTAATGGAAAAAGACCTGTATTTGACCAGTATTGTTTTTTGCTTGGTTCTCCAAACAGCAATGAAGCCAGAATAACAATGATAATACTGATCTCTTTTGTTGTTGCTGGCGAGGATAGAAGCACAGATTTAATGCCACAATACTCCAGGATATAGGTTCTGCTCTTGTGTTCTACCAACCGCAGCTTCTTTCTGGGATTCCAAAAAAACACCTGCGACCACAGCAAAGGCAGGGGCAGCTCGTGGCTGCAACAGGCTGGGTCAATGGCAGCACTAGGGCGGCTTCGACGGCTGCGCGTGCAGCAGAAGAAAAGGCAGCGTCAAACCACGGCCGTGGGCGGCTTGCGGTCGAATCAGTGGGGCCCGACGACCTGAGGCGAACGCGGCGACTCGGAGCAGATGCTCAACGGCGCGACGGTGAAGGTGAGGCCAGCAAAGGCGGCTTGAGGTGACGGAGGCCGGTTCAAGGGTGCGGGGCGAATGACAATCAACAACCCGCTGTGTAGCCTGGCGCGTCAACAGAGCTGCGATTCGCTCGTTTGGCGGTTTGACCACTGCGGCCATTGACTTCTTGATCGGTGACCCTGCCACAGTAAACCGGAGCAAGGTATGGATGATCCGGTGAGTCGTTTGAAGTGCGTCCACCACAACGGCAGTCTGGAGAGGCACGGCCGGACTAGGCGCGGTGGTGAACATTCGTGACTCCATCCAAGAGGAGGGGCAGGGCCAAACCGGCGTCAAGTTGGAGATACGCGGACGAACCGGCCACGGCGGTTTGGAGGTGCTGGTTCGGAGTAGTGGCAGGTAACAGGGCGGCGATTTAATCGCCCGGCAGTGCGGCGGCTCCCTGATGAGGGCGAGACAGAGGAGACGTCCGAAGCGAGACCTGGGCGACGGTTTACAGGCTGTAGGTGGCGCGGGGAGACCGGGCAGCCGCTCAACCAGAACGGCCCAAGGCAGTCAGTGAAGCGACTTTAGCGACGGCGTGAGGCCGCGATGGGTCGTGGTGCTGCAGAATTTAGGCGGCGATTCGGCCGTGGAGTTGGTTAGCGGCACGAGGCCGGCTTAGCAGGGTGTGGAAGTCAGCTCGCAAATGGTGGATTACAACAAAGGGAAGGTCGGCCTGGCGCGTGACCATGGCGGTGAGGTCGGCTGGACTGCAGCTCACGTAGCGAGGCCGTGGAGGAATCCAAACCACCCCCGGGTCCTCCTCGAGGTCGCTGTTGGTTTTGACTTCCTCGTTTTCCATCCCAAGCGTGGCTGTAGTAATCCAAAAGGGAAATATCCAAATATGTACTGGCCTTGGTTTACACTCAGCGTGCTGCTGGTTTTTATCCTTTCGTCTGTTGATGTCTTTTCTGTTTGATCCCGTCTCTTTTGGTTTTGGTCTTTGTTCCTGGATGCAGGCCGGCAGCGCTGGGCAACTTTCTATGGCGGCGGCTCAACACGGAGACCAGCGGAGAAGTCAGTCAGCAAACACCAAACGGCGGAGCGGGGCCGGAGAATAAGCCAATACGGAGGCATTCAGGAAGAGGCCCGGCGGTTCTCAACTGAAAATAAGGCCGATCTGATGCCGCGGGGGCGAGTAGATGCTGGCGACTCTGGTCAAACCTGCTGCCGGCGAATCCAGGTTGTTAATCATAGGTATCTCCGTTCCGTGTCATGGCCTTATTTTTGTTTAATCTAAGACGAAAACTGATCGAAGTTGACTGCGGAGATCTGGTGGTTGGCCCAGTTATACACGGGTAAATTTGGACTATCGCTGATCACCTCATCACGTCTAACTTTCTCGGGCCTTGGCAGATCTGGCCGTAACTTTGGAACAATCTGAATGCATACACGCGGCGGATCAACTCCTTGTCGACCTCGGACTGGGTATAGAAACGGTTTTGACGGATTGCTTCGTCACATCTGGCGACGCGGACGACGGAACCCTAACTCCTTGATCTCAAATTTCGCGCTGTAAACTTCAAAGTTTAGCCATGGTTCTCATCATCAAACAATCTTTCCTCATCTGACCAATCATGAACTTCTCAATCCCTGAAGAGATCCCTCCAAAAACTCATCACCACCGTGCGCAGACCCCACGGTGGGCGCCAACTGTCCTGGATTTGTCACGGCAGATGTCCTAGTGTAAGGACTTAGTCGTGAGGCCAACGCATATATGTGGTAGCTTGAGAGGGGTTGAGCGGAATCGAGAGACGCAACACAAGACAGGGATTTAGACAGCTTCGGGCCCCGGGAAACATCATCCGGTAACAACCCTACATGCTGTTTGAGGCTAGGTCTCATTATCATCACGAGGGAGTCGCCGTAAACCGGCTCTCCTCTTTGTGTCTAGCCCTAAGATTGTTTCTTCTTGCTTGTAGCCTGTCCCCCTTTGGGGAGCCCTGCCCCTCCTTATATATGCTGAAGGGGCGGGTTACATGTGGAGTCCTATTAGGATTAGGACTAGTCTATCTCTAATACAAACCGGATACAAGTCCTGGTCTCAACTCCTTGTAAGGTAAATATTCCTCCTGCCTTTCCTCTTAAACCGGCCCACCATAGTATGAACCGGCCTTCTGGGCCATGGGCCTCGTCATCCATCTGACCCGCCCGCCGGGTTACTGATGAACCGCCAAGACCGGGCGGGTAGCCGGTGAATCATCCAGTCCTGGCCGGTTTATACTCCCGGCCGGTTTACGCCACGGGGTATATCCCCGACAGAAATGATACTTGACACTTGGAAAAGCTCTAGCTAAACGAACTACACGATCTTTGAGCTATGCTTAGGATTGGGTCTTGTCCATCACATCATTCTCCTAATGATGTGATCCCGTTATCAACGACATCCAATGCCCATAGTCAGGAAACCATGACTATCTGTTGATCAACGAGCTAGTCAACTAGAGGCTTACTAGGGACATGTTGTGGTCTATGTATTCACACGTGTATTACGATTTCCGGATAATACAGTTATAACATGAATAATGGACAATTATCATGAACAAAGAAATATAATAATAACCATTTATTATTGCCTCTAGGGCATATTTCCAACAGGCGCCCCCCCCTCGTGGGCCCCTCGTGGCTCCCCTGACCGACTTCCCTCGCCTCTATATATCTACGTACCCCAAAACATCCAGGAGCACCACGAAACCCTATTTCCACCACCACAACCTTCTGTACCCGTGAGATCCCATCTTGGAGCCATTTCCGGCGCTCCGCTAGAGGGGGAATCGATCACGGAGGGCTTCTACATTAACACCATAGCCTCTCCGATGAGTTGTGAGTAGTTTACCACAGACCTTCGGGTCCATAGTTATTAGCTAGATGGCTTCTTCTCTCTCTTTGAATCTCAATACAATGTTCTCCTCGATCTTCTTGGAGATCTATTCCATGTAACTCTTTTTGCGGTGTGTTTGTCGAGATCCGATGAATTGTGGGTTTATGATCAAGTTTATCTATGAGAAATATTTGAATCTCCTCTACATCAGGGGCGGCAATGCACGTATTGTATTGTATTGTTGCCATCGAGGATAAAAAGATGGGGTTTATATCATATTGCTTGAGTTTATCCCTCTACATCATGTCATCTTGCTTAATGCGTTACTCTGTTCTTATGAACTTAATACTCTAGATGCATGCTGGATAGGGCTGCAAGAAAAGCTCGAGGCTCGTGAGCCGCTCGAGATCGACTCGTCTTTTGGCTTGACTCGAGATCAACTCGAAAAGAAACGAGCTGAGTATGAACATTTTATGCAGCTCGATCAAGAAACGAGCCGATCTTGAGCCAGTACTCGCTCGCTCGATTTTAGCTCGATAGCTCGGCATAAAATCATTATATTAAATGATCATATCATATGTTAAATGGAAATAGGATAATTTATTACCATATATGATGTCTAAGATTTTTTTCCATTTTATTTACTAGCAAACATGGAAGTTTAATTAAGTGTAGAGAAAATTCAGGCCTTATTATGGTATGTGATCGGCTGACCCTGTAATTTTTGGCAAGAAAATCCCCAACATATGACCTTCGTTTTACTGTCTTTCTTCCACGAAGAGCACGGTATGTTGCTGGTTTGTTCAACAGATCAACATGAGTTCTCCCGGGAACAACGAGATGGCTGTACCATCGATCGAAGTAAGCCTTTTTTTTCACATTCACATCATCTGGTTGGTAATACTATTTATAAATAAATGAATGACATCAACAACATCTGTTGTTCCTTCTCAAGATCTGATTTATGGTTAGATTGTTCACGTGTAAAATACTGTTGGATATAGTGCATGTGATTCAGAGTACTGTAGGCCGAAGTGAACATTTCTTTTACTCGGTGTAGTCACCGCTCTAGCCTCGGCAGATCGCCAGATTCAGAACACAGCCGTGTCCGTCAGTCAACGTGTCCGCCTCCGGCCCTTCACCCTCGTTCCCCACCATGACCATGCATCCCCGTCGACCGGCGGCGCGAATTGATCACACCCAGGCGGCACTCCCACGCTGCCACGCCGGCAGCCCGGCACGCCGCGCCCTGGTCCCTAGACGGCTGGAGTCCCTGCTTTTGATTAGGTGTGTGTATGCACTGTTAGCTGCTGGTTGAATCTCTCCATTATGCCTGGATTTTTGAGCAGGTCTACTGGTTGCGATATGACTGTTCTTCTTCTACTGTTTGACGTACTGCAGATTTCCTTGTATGTCTAGTAATTTAGATGTTCTCATTTTCTGGTAAGTTAGATGTTCTTCTTTTTGAGGGCTATTTAGATGTTCTTCTCATCTTCTGGTATTTTAGATGTCCACCCAATCGCTTAATTGATACATTACGTACTAGAAAATGCATCTTAATGTTCGTTCACATATGCTTAATTGGTACAGTACGTACTAGAAAATGCATCTTCATGAACAACCTTATCACTGATACTTTGCACCTTAATGTTCGTTCGCATATGCTTAATACCTCTGAATCTTAGGTCCTTTGTGAGAATGAAGCCAAGGATGCCAAGGAAGTTGTGATGGTTGAGAATGATGAATCGCCAAAATCATCCAGGAAGAGGAAACACTCTGATGTATGGGATCACTTTGAGGAGGTTGAGGTGCTTTCAAAGAAGAAAAAAGGAGAACCAGAGAGAAAAGTTAAGTGCAAGGCTTGCAGCAAACTGTACATGTACCCGAAGACTAGAACTACAACTACAATGAAGAGGCATCTGGATGGCTGCTTTGCACATCATGGTGAGGAGAACATCAAAAAAGGTCAAGGCACTCTGAATTTTGATGCGGCTGATGCATGTGGTATTGATCTTCCAGTAGTCAGTTTCTCTGGTGGCTATGATCATGCAAAAATTCGTGAGCTTATTGCTACAATGATAATTGTCCATGAGTACCCTTTTCGCATGGTCGAGCATTTCTGGTTCAATGTGCGGATGAAGACTTTGAATCCTTCTTATCAGAAGACATCAAGAACCACCATCAAAAATGAATGTTTGCAGATTTTTAAGTCCCGAAAGGAAACACTGAAGAAGGAACTTAAGCATGTTGGCAAAATTAGCCTCACATGTGATCTCTGGACCTCTAACCAAACTCTTTGTTATATGAGCTTGGTGGCACACTATATTGATTCAGAATGGAATATGCAGTACCGTGTGATTAGTTTTCTTGAACTGGAGCCACCACACACAGGTATTGTGATATCTCAGGCTATATTTGAGTGCCTTTCTGATTGGAAGATTGAAGACAAAATTGCAACTATAACTCTTGATAATGCTTCTTCCAATGACGTGGCTGCTCGTCAACTGATGTCCAAGTTTAAGGCTAGAGGAAGTGTGTTTTTCCATGGTAAATTTTTTCATGTCAGATGCTCTGCTCATATACTCAACCTTTTAGTATCAGATGGCCTAAAGGCTATAGAACCACTCATTGAGAACATCAGGCAAACTGTTAAGTATTTGAAGAAGTCGCCATCTCGCCTCTACAAATTTACTGAGATTTTCAAGTCACTTAACATGTCAACCAAGAGGGGGTTGTGTCTTGATGTTCCAACTAGATGGGGATCCACATACAAGATGCTTGAGCATGCCTTTTCTTTCAAAAATGCATTTTTACATTATGCAGATTTGGATGCCAATTATAAGTGGGAGCCATCTAGTGAAGAGTGGAGGTTGTATGCTAAAATAAGGGATATTTTAGCAGTGTTGAACATGACGACCACTATGTTTTCTGGATCAACCTATCCTACAGCTAATGAGTTCTTTCTTCTAATTGTGAATGTTAAGAAGGTCCTCGATGATGCATCTGCCTCTACAGATAAATTCTTGCATGATATGGGAAATGCTATGCTTCAGAAATTTGAGAAGTATTGGAAAGAGTGCAGTACTTTGCTGTCAATAGCGTCAATTCTGGATCCAAGGTACAAGATGGATCTAATTAATTTCTGTTTTCCCAAGATATATGTTGCTAGTGACATTGAACACAACATTGACTCAGTAAGTTCAACACTGAAGGAGTTGTATGAACATTATGAGAGTGACCACACAGCCAACTTGGTTGCAGCAGAAAAGAAAGTGGATAATCAGGCCGTCGCTTCAGAAAATGGGACATCAAGCAATAGTCTCATGGCAATTTCAACTCAGTTTCGTACCTTCATGAAGACTACTGCTAAAAAGGTTTCCAAGTCAGATCTATTTGCATACTTAGATGAGGCTGCGCTTAATCATTCAGAAGACTTTGATGTGCTACTTTGGTGGAAGCAAAATTCATCAAGGTATCCAATACTATCCAAGGTTGCGAAAGATATTCTTACTGTGCCAGTCAGTACTGTTTCTTCGGAATCATCATTTAGTACTGGAGGCAGAGTGCTTGATAATTATAGAAGCTCTTTACTCCCAAATACTGTTGAGGCTTTGGTGTGTTCAGCTAGTTGGATTAGAGGCTCCCAAAAGAAAAAGAAAGCTAACAAGGTGAGTTCCTGAATACTCTGTTTATGCCATATATTTCAAATCATCTAACATGTATATACGTACATCTTACGATTTTGTTGTGCACAAATATTCTCAAGATAAAGAAGACCAGGATGACCTACTTGAAGTTCCTTTTCTGGATAAAGATCCTTCGATCATTTCTACAGACTAGTAAGAAACAAATAGACTATGGTGAACATTCACCTGAATTGTTGCATTGTTTGTATTATCTTGCAAACTAATAAATTCTAATATGCAGGCCAGTTGCACTTCTTGGTACGGTGATGGGGAGAATTACTTCAAGTCCTATTACAGCTCCAAGACCATCTCCGGCCTACCCTCTGCAGCAACTTTTTATGATCTTCGGCGAATAATTTGTTTTCCCAATTATATATCAGACGTGAATTGTCAGCTTATGTTGATGCCAGACTTTTGGTTATGAGAGAATAAGTCAAACTACTTTGATTAAACTACATTATTATCATCTTGATTGGAATAATATATTTTTAGTGGTTTCTTATGCCGTGTTGTGCCTTATCTAGTTGGAATAATCCCCAGATATTTTATAGTTTTTACTATTCCGTTTAGCTCGAAACTAACTCGAGATCTACTCGAGATCGTTACGAGCTGAGCATGAGTCATGTTTTACAGCTCGACCTCGAGCTTCACTCAGTTTGAGCTCGCACGAATTTTAATATGAGTTGAGCTGAGCCAACTACAACTCGCTCGAACTCGACTCGTTTGCAGCCCTAATGCTGGATAGCGGTTGATGTGTGGAGTAATAGTAGTAGATGCAGAATCATTTCAGTCTACTTGTCGCAAACGTGATGCCTATATACATGATCATGCCTAGATATTCTCATAACTATGCACTTTTCTATCAATTGCTCAACAGTAATTTGTTCACCCACCGTAATACTTATGATATCTTGAGAGAAGCCATTAGTGAAACCTATGGCCCCCGGGTCTATTTTCCATCATATAAGTTTCCAATCTACTTTATTTTGCAATCTTTACTTTCCAATCTATATCATAAAAATTACCAAAAATATTTATCTTATCTTATTATCTCTATCAGATCTCACTTTTGCAAGTGGCCGTGAAGGGATTGACAACCCCTTTATCGCGTTGATTGTGAGGTTCTTGTTTGTTTGTGTAGGTACGAGGGACTTGCGTGTAGCCTCCTACTGGATTGATACCATGGTTCTCAAAAACTGAGGGAAATACTTACGCTACTTTGCTGCATCACCCTTTTCTCTTCAAGGGAAAACCAACGCAGTGCTCAAGAGGTAGCACGGCTCAACAAAGCTGACTGACGATTTGAAACGGCAGCAGCGACTCAAGGAAGTGCACGAAGTAGAGCGTGGCCGCTCGAAACCCAGCAGTAACGGGGCCATTGTGACAGTGAAGACAACAGGGAGAAGCACGACTGCGCGCGAACAGAAGGGCAGGCGTCCGTGGCTCAGGCGCGACGGCTCAAAGGCGGCTGGTAGAGGCCAGCAAGGGCGACGGTTGCGGAGAGCGGCTTACAAACGTCGGCCGGCGGCTTGGAGGTAGGGGAGCTCGCGGTCGGCCATAGCGGAGGCGGTTTGGCGCGTCGGCGCGGCTCACATGCAGAGGCAGGCAGCTCAATCATCAGCGACATGAGGCGGCTGGGTGGTTTAGAGGCGACAAAGGGGCGCCGGTGCATGGATGGACTTGGCGATTTAGAGCGAGCCCATGGCGACTCGTTTGCAGTGGAGACCGACCCATGGGTGGGGGCTCACGCTGTGAAATTGGCAACCCAGAGGTGGCATTTTGAGGCAGAGACTGCGCGATGAGACTTGGGCAATGACGACTTGACACACAAGCGGCGGAGGCAGAAATCGCAACCGCGACTCGGCCAAAGCACAGACCCGTCGACGGCCCGGTGACTGGCAGGAGCGGAGACAACGACTTACGGCACCAGCGGTTCAGAAGAAGGAGCGCGACTCGGAGCAGACGGCCACTCGACGCAGAGGTGGCTCGAGGCCAGCTCAACGGAGACCGGCGGAGGAAGCAACTCAAGCCTAGACCGCGCAAGCGGCAGAAAAAGAGTCCGAGTTGGGCTGCTTTGAAAACGGACACGACTGCAGCTCCGATGGCGGGTCATACGACCGGCGGCTCAGGGACTACAGCCGGAGGAGGCGACGCGCGACCCGTGGTTGCGGTGGCGAATCAATGTAGCACTCGAACAAGGTCGAGGACAGCAGCTCGGGGACGCAGGCGCGGCATGGCTCATCCGTGGAGGCTCGCGCGGTTGCCAGGCGTAACAAAAACGGGACCAGGCAGATGATAGCGACAGCAGCATAGAGTCCGTGGCCGAAGCAGAGTCTTTGGGCGACTCGGAGTGGGTACGGCGACTCACGTACCAAAGCGGATTCGAGGGTGAAGGCGAGGTTAGCCATGGAGGCATCACTCGAGTCCTTGGCCGAGGTGGCAAAAAACGTGGTGCGGGATCCATGGAGTCGATCCGGCGAGGTGGAGGCAGGCCTGCTTGAGGCGCGGCAGCTTAAAATCAAACGCGAGGAGTGACCCCGCGGGAAAGTTATCAGCGGCGGCGGGCCCTCTCCTGGAGACCCGACGAGGTGCCGGCGGTTCACGGTCAACCGACCGGATAAACTCCGTTAATAAACAATTTCTGATCTTGACCAAAGCTGATGTAGATCCTTTCAAAACTAACTTTCCTTCATCTGGAAATTTGCAAAACTTCTCAAAACCCTAATTAATATCCCTCCAAGAACTCAACACTGCCGTGCGTGAGCCCCACGGTGGGCGCCAACTGCCGTGGATTTGTCACAGCAGATGTCCTAGTGTGAGGACTTAGTCGTGAGGCCAACGCACCTATGTGGTAGCTTGAGAGGGGTTGATCGGGATGAGAGATGCGAGGTGGATCAACACACAAGACAAGGATTTAGATTGCTTTGGGCCCCGGGAAACATCATCTGGTAATAGCCCTACATGCTGTTTGTGGCTAAGTCTCATTATGCTCATGAGGGAGTCGCCGCATAAACCAGCTCTCCTAATTGTGTCTAGCCTTAGAGATTACTTCCCCCCTCTTTTGGGGTGCCTTGCCCCTCCTTATATAAGTTGGAGGGGCGGGTTACATGTGGAGTCCTAGTAGGACTAGGACTATTCTATAACAAGCGGAATCCTAGTCTTGCCCCCTTAAGGGAAAACTCCTTATGCCTTTCCTCATAAACTGGCCCACCATAACATGAACCGGCCGTCTGGGCCTTGGGCCTTGTTGTCCGTCTGACCCGCCCGCTGGGTCTCCAATGAGTCATAAACCGCCAGGTCCAGGCGGGTCGCCAGTGAGTCATAATGTTCCAGCCGGGTCATACATCCGTCGGGTTACCCCGGGGGGTATATCCCCGGACAAGTACAGTAGGTTAAGTGGTAACTAATTGTGGTTCCGGTCGAGGTGAAGATACCCCGAATAAACCCCTCAAAGGATTGTTCTCCATAGTAACAAGTGACAATAAATTTCAACACGTAGAAATAGTTTTTCCTTACCGATTTCCACTTACCAAGAGCGCTTCACTCCCCGGCAACGGCTCCATAAAAGAGCCTTGATAACCCACAATTATAGGGGATCAATAGTAGTCCTTTCTATAAGTAAGAGTGTCCAACCCACGAGGAGCAGAAGGAAATGACAAGTAGTTTTCAGCAAGGTATTCTCTGCAAACACTGAAATTATAAGTAACGAGTAGTTTGATAGCAAGATAATTTGTAACGAGCAAGTAACGGTAATAGTAAAAAAGTGCATCAAGGTAGCCCAATCCTTTTGAGTCAAAGGACAGGCCAAAACGGTCTCTTATGATAAGCAAAGCGCTCTTGAGGACACATGGGAATTTCATCTAGTCACTTTCATCATGTTGGTTTGATTTGTGTTCGCTACTTTGATAATTTGATATGTGGGTGGACCGGTGCTTAGGTGTTGTTCTTACTTGAACAAACCACCTACTTATGATTAACCCCCCTCGCAAGCATCCGCAACTATGAGAAAATTATTAAGAATAAATCTAACCATAACATTAAACTTTTGAATCCAAATCATTCCCTTACGAAGTAGTGCATAAAATAGGGTTTAAGCTTTTGTCACTCTTGCAACCCATCATCCAATAACTAGTCCATAATGCATTCCCTTAGGCCCAAATATGGTGAGGTGTGATGTAGTCGACCTTCACATGACACCACTAAGGGAATCACAACATACATACCATCAAAATATCGAACACATATCAAGTTCACATGATTACTTGCAACAAGATTTCTCCCGTGACCTCAAGAACAAAAGTAACTACTCAAAAATGATAATCATGCTCAAGATCATAGGAGTATTAAATAGCATAATGGATCTGAACATATAATCTTCCACTGAATAAACCATATAGTAAACAACTACAAGATGTAATCAACACTACTAGTCACCCACAAACACCAATCTAAGGTTCCGGTACAAAGATTGAACACAAGAGATGAACTAGGGTTTGAGAGGAGATGGTGATGTTGAAGATGATGATGGATATTGCCCTCCCCAAGACGAGAGAGTTGTTGGTGATGATGATGACAATGAAGATTGCCCTCCCCAAGACGGGAGAGTTGTTGGTGATGATGATGACAATGATTTCCCCCTCCGGGAGGGAAGTTCCCCCGGCGGGATCGCTCCACCGGAGGGCAAAAGTGCTCCTGCCCAAGTTCCGCCTCGAGACGGCGACGCTTCATCCCAAAAGTCCTCCCCTCATTTTTTCAAGGTCAAAATGACTTATATACAAGAAGAGGGGCACCGGAGGTGGGCCGAGGAGGGCTTGTTACGTCTCCAACATATCTAATTTTCCAAACACTTTTGCCCTTGTTTTGGACTCTAACTTGCATGATTTGAATGAAACTAACCCGGACTGACGTTGTTTTCAGCAGAACTGCCATGGTGTTGTTTATTGTGCAGAAAACAGAAGTTCTCGGAATGACCTGAAAATCCACGGAGATAACTTTTGGAAAATATAAAAATACTGGCAAAAGAATCAAGGCTAGGGGGCCCACACCCTGTCCACGAGGGTGGGGGTGCGCCCTCCCCCCTGCGCGTCCCCTGTCTCATGGGCCCCCTGATGCTCCACCGACCTCAACTCCAACTCCATATATTCCGTTTCGTGGAGAAAAAAAATCAGAGAGAAAGTTTCATCGCATTTTACGATACGGAGCCGCCGCCAAGCCCTAATCTCTC